ATGGTATAAATTTTATTTTCTCAGGTGCATTAGACATTATTACATTCTAAAAGGGAGACTGACACACACTTAAAAAATAAGGTTTCATTTTTTTGCTTTGGTAATAGTTTAATGAAAATATGTCCCCTATTTTTCTCATTCCTGCCTCCTTAACTTATGGTCCTCTTTGCTATTTCTTGTTCTAAAATTTTCTTGGTTTCTTCTGCTGTGTTCTGAAAGATTGATTACTTCATGATATTATAATGTTTATATAACTGTTGCTCACCAGGTTGTCAAAAAGTTTGAAATAGCTATGCAAGAAAGCTTAAATGGCAAAGTTCATGGAGATGGCACACTAACCTTCAGAAAAAGGTTAAACACCAAAATAGAAAATATGTTTAGAAAAGAGGAGGACACAGAAGACGGGGGAATGCCTTCTATAAGCCGAGGAGTTGGTGTACCAGGTGTTCTGAAAGATCAATATAGACCACCTCTTTCCAGAAAATCAAGGAATCGTCAGACACTGATAAGAGGCTCACTATGTAGAATTAATAAAGAAGAAGATCCTGATGATTGGGATTGGATAGATATTGGAACGAAGATGAAAGACACCTATGAGTTGCAGCGAGATGATATAGTTGAGCTGACAAAAAAAGTTATGGATGAAGATAAGGGAGAAGATGAAAGCGATCCAGATGAGGATGAAAGAGTAATGTCTTCACTCAAGAGAGACTGGCCTTTTCTATTTTACTCCGTGCCAATGAATACTCACTACAAGAGGCTCACAGGAATTGACTTGCAGGAACGGGTTCTAAAATTTTTGTCAGCAGATGAGCTGAAGTACCTTCTCTTATACTATTGCTCGTGTTCTAACAGCAGTGCCATCAACACACAAAACTTGGTGCTGAAATTAAAAGTTCAGCAGGAAATGCCTGCCTCTGCTTCCATGTCAACTAGCACTCAATTTTTACTGGCACTGTGTATGACTGCAAACAATTTTGCTGAAACTTATACCAACACTTTTTTGTTCACATCAGAAGTAAGCATCTTATTTAGAGGCCACTGTGATTTAAAAGTATAATTATTAAACAAACTATAGACTAAATTTCTTTTGCAGAAAACTCTGAGACCAGAGGAGGTGGATTCTGTACCAAATTTGCCCAGCAGTATCTGCATTATTGCTCTTGGTAAAACTCATATCACTTACTCTTTCAAAATGGTTATTTTGTTGCATACAATGTAGTTTGATGCTTTATATTCTGCAAAACTTAATCAACAGGTGATGATCCTTTCAATGCAAATACGTATTATGTGTCACTTGATAAAATCTGTGTAGCAGAGAAAGAAAATGCATTAGATGCAGTTATGATGCTAATTAAAATCTGTTTTGTGTTTGATATTGAATATCCTCCTGGTTTGTCACTGACCTTTGAGTTTATAGAGAGGTAAGTCACACCATATCCACTTCCAAACAATTTTACCTGGAAAAAAATTACCTACTAGTTCCATTCACTTTTCAGAATAGTACTTGAACTTACTGTGAAAGAGACTAGAGTGAAAAACAAGAGCGGAAAACTTCTTCTAGTGCTGACAGAGAAAGTGAAAAAGGCTGGTAAAACTTTTCATAACTTCAAAAAATCAGTAAGGGAAGGTCTTGAGCAAGGTAAGCAGAAATTATCCATAAGTGGCAAGACTGGCTTTTAGCAGTTAATAATAATGTTCATTGAAACTGTTCCAATCTATTTCAGATTTCTAGATTAAGAGCGCAAGATGATGTGCACACTTTATGAACTTTTTAAATTGATTTGATCGCACTTAAAAGTGTGAATCTCCACACTTAATGAACTGAAGAAGTTTTTAAATTGGTTTAAGTTTAAAATTTATGTTTCATTTATGACAAATTTCTTTTATCTTTATACATATACATACAATTGTAACTTATGAACTTCAGAAACCAAAGATATTTTAATTTTGATTC